CATGAATACACATCAAATAGTTTTCTGGTTGCAATTTTCTAATTTCGACTATGCGTAATGTATGCTTTACGCATGCGCGTGTTGAAAGAAATGTTTAATAAAGTAAACAAATAAATATTAAGCTTTTTTTTGTAAATTTTGATACCCTTTAGATCATAATTGCTCTTTATTTCTTAATTACGGTTTCATATTTTTAATTTTATAATTTCTGCATGCCATCTTACCAGATTTAAACTGATGATCTATAATCTGGAATCGCTGAAGTCCTGATGAGTCTGGATTAAAGACTTTTGACTGTATATATAAATTTTTTGTTTCCATGTATAAGATAGTGTATACATTCTGTTAATTTTTTTTGCTACTGTACTTTTATCATCCTTTACGTACTACATTGTGTCTAGTATGAATTTTATGTCTTCCAGTTGATTTTGGGAGGGGGCAAAATTAAAGCCAAAATTAGAAAAGTTTCACATACTAGCGCTATAGGCATTGTTTTCGAGTGAGCATTGTGGAAACCTTAGAAGCGTTTTTGGAAAGATGTGAAATTTTTTTAAATGTTCTGTTATCTCTCATGGGTGAAGGTTGGAGTTTGGTGGTTGGAGTTTATTATTTCAGTATCTACTTCATATTAATTAAAGAAAATGTGCACCTGTTGTTCGTCTCCCTTTAAATTTTTCTGCATTTTGCATTGTGTTTAACAGAATTTGCCAACACTTGCAGTCAAAATAATCCATTATTTCCAAGTACCTTTTTTTTTTTTTTTTTTGTGAAAAATTTGTAAATGTTTCAGTTCTTTTTGCAATGAAACTATTTGACAGAAGATGCACTTGGCTTTTCATGAAGCAGAATTCTTATGGAGACAAATTGCAAAAAATACATTTTTATGGAGACAAATTGCGTATTTGTGATTTTGAGCGATGTTCACTTGCCTTTTTAACCAGAATTCTTATTTAGAAATTAGTAATATTTTATTACTAATATCAAAATTAATAATGTTTAGTAATATTTTATTACTATAAATTGCAGAAATTGGTAATATGCTTGGATTTTGAAATGCGAGGATTAGGGATGGTTTAATCGGTTTGTTGACATAAAAAGTATATTTTGTTGAGACATTGGTACATAATCGGTGGTGTATTGGCGAGCAACAGTACCCACCAATCGGTAAGAACTTATTTGTCTCAAACTGTTAGTTTATTAGCAAAGATTATATTTTTCTGAATGCTTTTTAAAATTAAATTTTGAACTCTGAATTTTGTCATGCTTTCATACACAGAGGTGCCCGTTTGTGTTGGGCAAACACGTCTCCAGTCAACAATGGGCGTCTGTTCTCTTCACAGACAAGTCCAGGTTCAAGATGGACAGTGATTCAGGTAGTCAGCTGATCTGGAGGGAAGAATGCACCAGATACAATCAATCCCACATTGTGGAAAGACAGCTACAGCGGTGGTGGAATAATGGTTTGGGCTGGAATCTCTATCGGTGGTCATACTGACCTGCATGTGTTCCATGAGGAACTTTGACCAGTGTGAGATATCAAGATGCGATCCCATGATCAATAGTACAGTCAAAAGTCGTTAATTCGGACACCCATAATTCGGAATGATCTATAATCCGGACCTCAAAGCTAAAATCTTTCTGCGCATGCGCCGCATTGACGCATGCGCATAGGCGTTTTACTCGTGCGCCCAAGACATTTACGACTGCGCATATGCATCTGCGCAAGTGCAGAATACGTTTTCGCGTGCGCGTTTAATGTACAACAGACGCTATAAGCTAAAATTATCTAATTATCTATTTCAGTTAATGTTGATGATTGCGTTGTTCCTTAATCTTCGAATTGGATCCGGCTTATTATTTTTTGCAGACTGTAAGAGAGCAATTTTCTAAAAGTAAGCTTGAAGTTTTGATTATGTCAAATAGAATTTCCGATGCTGAAGCTTCCAAAGGATCTAGAAAACGAAAGTATGTTCGATGTCCATCAAACAAAAAACGAATTGCTACAAAAAATGGATAAAGCAATTCTTTGTTTATCTAACCGTTCCGAAATCTGTTATCAATTTCACGCTGCTCTGCGCGGGGGGGGGGAAGACATCGCGGCGGGCGCGCAGTGAACTGGAAGTTGATTTGTCAACACTATCGTTATCTTCAGAGCAGATGTTTTTATTTTATTCGGCTTATAATTCTTTACTAAATGTATATTTAATTTCGATGTACGCCGTCTTTGATATGATTAAATCAAATTCCTCGTCATTATAAATACCACGAATACAAATCAAATAGTTTTCTGGTTGCAATTTTCTAATTTCGGTATGCATAAGGTATGCTTTACGCCTCCGCACGTTGAAAGAAAGTTAATAAAGTAAACAAATAAATATTAGGCTTCTTTTTTGGTAAATTTTGATACCCTTTAGATCATAATTGCTCATTATTTTATAAATTACGGTTTCAATATTTTAATTTTATAATTTCTGCATGCCATCTTACCAGATTTAAACTGATGATCTATAATCCGGAATCGCCAAAGTCCCGACGAGTCCGGATTAAAGACTTTTGACTGTATATCCGCCCATATACCTCTGCTATTAGTCCTGGATTTCTTCTGATGGATGACAATGCACAACCACACCGAGCTCGGGTTGCTGAAGAATATCTTGAGGGTCACAGTATGGATTGGATGGAATGGCCAGTTCAATCCCCAGACCTGAAGTCCTCCAAGGTTGTTTGATGAGCTTGAACAAGGATTACTGAATATCTGGTTGTTGCTTTCCATTTCACTGATCAACAACTTAATTGACAGCATGGAACATTGCTGCTGCCAATGTATTGCAGCTAGGCTTGGCCACATTCCTTATTAAAACCCATTTTTGTAATGTTACCACCTTATTTTTCCTCAAACAGATATACTGTTTGTCCAAGACTGGATTTCTTTGCCAAGAGTGCTATTTTTTGTTGCGATTATGTTTGTGTGAAAACATTCTGTCACATTCATTAAAGAACTGTTTAGTGAACATGTCCTGTAAATTTTTTGTTTCTGTGTTACTTCATTCTCAAATTGGGTGCAAAAAAAAAATGCTGTTCCTTAACTTTTAGAGGGCAGTGTATATACTCGGGCATCTTATCCTAACCAGTGTGGTTTTAACATATGGGGGAAACATTTACTGAACTTTTCAGATGCACCGTGTGTAACAAATTTTGATCATTTGTTTCTCACTATTTACCTCTTTATATATATTCTTATTATGTTTGCTTAGTTTCTTTTTGCGCTATGTTTAGAACAGTATCCTCATTTTTTATTATTTTAATTTTATGTGCACTTGTTTCTGAAGATCTGCATATATCAAGATTTTTTTTCTAATGTTAATTCTTTTTTGTGTAATAATCTTGCTCTCACTACATCCTTTTTAATACAATTTTATCCTTTTATCAGACTATCCTTTAATTGTGCAAACTTGCATGTTCTAGCCCTATTTTAAAAGGTTGGTTACATTCTCGTCTGGTTTGGGATGCTGTTTTGATTTTTAGTAAAGAATGTCTTTCATATGTAATATTTTTCTTAGGTATATAATATTCTGTAAATTTGTCTTAATTTCATTAACCTTCTACAAGAAATGTATTTCTTATATACTGTATTTCAAGATCACGAATTCCTGTTGTCTGAGAAAAAGTATTCTCATCCTCTCTTCTTTATAATGTATATAATGCACTGGCTATTTCACGAATTTCAAATGATTGCAGCATCTTTGCCAGTTTGAAGTAATATTTCCATTGGCTCTGGTAGCTTTAAACTTTTCATTTTCAAAGCCATCCTGACAGTTCTGACACCATGTAAAATGAAGAGGGTGCACTTTTAACTGTTTAAACGAGGGGGTTCTCAACTGGTGGTATGCAAGAAAAAAATAGGTGGTACGGAAAGAAGCAAAGTCTTTTTAACTATTAAATTCAAAAATTAAAATCCCAACTTCCTGATTGAGTTTTTTCTCTAAGATTCATAAATTTATGTGATCTGAGCTTTGTTTAAGAGTAGTGGTGGCACTAAAGGTTTTCAATTTTTGTTTAGGTGGTTAAAAAAGTTAGTCAAAAGGTTGAGAACTGCTGGTTTAAACTATTTATTTATAAGCATAGTGTTAAATTACGGAGAATTGCAATACTAACAAACTGTAGCCCCTTGCAAGTTTGCTAAATACTTAAATGTTGCTATTAATAAATCAGTAAATACTAAATGTTACAGAGTTGTTTGTAGCTTGATCTAACAATTAGATTGTCAGTTTTAGTAGTGAAGGAAACTGAAGCATGGGAAGCAGGATCTCTCAAAATAGTGACAACTGTCACAGGAGATTATCACACTGAAGAGTTTAAAAATTTTGTAAAAATGGAAAAGAAATTAACAGTCAAGAATACTGCAATAAATGTTTGATTTTATTGCTATACAGTGTGGCTAATGTAAGAATAACAAATTTTATAATACTGAAATGCAAGCAATTTCAGAATTGTAGTTTATTAATAGAACTATCACAGTTTGGCTATTGTTCGTGTACTTCAGAAGCTGAATTCTATGCAGCTTTTGTAAGCTGCTGAAATTGAAATGTTTTGCAATAATTATTACTCTTTACGTTATACCACAACTGAAAACGTAACTGCATAAATAAGTGTTGTAATTGAGATGCATACTTGATGCAACCAATAAGTATTATTTGTTGATTGAGGAATAAAAATCGCTGAAACAATTGTCTAATGTGGGAGATGCTCCATTTGTAATAAATTTGCTATTGCTAAAGTTGTGGGATTACAAATGTCATGATATAGCAGCATTGTATGATCTATTTGGAAAATTTGAAACAAGTAGATTTACAAATGAGATTGAGCCAAACAGCTAAACACAGTACAATGCTTGTATCAGTTGGCACTCTAGATTTCTTAGAAATTCATTCTTTCTGGTTTGTTTATTTTTAGTGATTTTTTTTTTCCAAACGTGATTAATTTTGAAATGTGAATTTCAGATATGGGATACTGCAGGACAAGAGAGATTTCAGTCATTAGGTGTTGCATTTTACAGAGGAGCAGATTGCTGTGTTCTTGTTTATGACGTAACATCACCAAATACATTTAAGTCCTTGGATTCATGGCGAGATGAATTTTTGATCCAGGCATCACCTCGTGATCCTGAAAACTTTCCTTTCGTTGTAATTGGCAATAAGATAGATCTTGAAAACAGAGCAGTAAGTTGACTTTTTAATAGCACAAATCTTCATTATTTAAATTTCATGATACTATATGTAATGCTGGAATAATTTTATCAACACTGAGTGGCAAGTTTTTTGAATTAATTGATAAAAGGGCTGTATTTGTTGGTTTTTTTAAGATTGGCATACATATAACATTCTCAAAAGAATCATCCACTTCTAACAAAAATACATTATGGCAATATACAAAAAGAAAACTTTATTAAAGAAAATCAGTCATAAGAAATCTTACCACATTCTACCAAACCATAATAATGAAAAACACTCTCTTCCAGATACATTTTTTTAACTCATTCTTTTTACAATTTAATATCAATATATTAAAATCAAAATATTAAAACTTAAAATTATGCTTTATAAACAAATACTATCAATTCCCCCCTTATTTGTATTTAAAGATATAATTTTGATCAGTCAGTCATGTCCGTACTTTAATAGTTCATCTTTTAATTTCACCCTAAGTAGATGTTAAAATATCCGCTTCTTCATTTTGTGAACACACAAACTGAGGAATGATTTGATTCATTTCATATTCATCCTTAACAAAGAAATATTTTCTATTAATGTGCCTTGAACTGCTACTTTGTTTTGATTTTTTAATCCAATCTATTAATGCTTGACAGTCTGTTTTAATTCCTATTGGTTTGTCAATTAGATCATCTTGACCCAAATCTTCAAGTAAAAAGATGTACCATTTAACTTTACATGCACATTTGCAGAGTGCTAAAAGTTCAGCTTCCATTGTAGATAGAGCAACTATTCTTTGTTTGTTGCACTTCCAATTTATGAAATTTTTGCCTAATTTAATGAAATAACCTCCAAATGATTTTCTATCTTCAGTGGTACACCAACTTGCATCTGATGTAGCATTTAATTTCCCATTGTCTGAAGTATACACTAAACAAGTATTTTGTGTTCCTTTAATATATCTAAATATCCTCTTTACAGCTTTCCAGTGTTTCTCTCTGGGATCTTGATTATATCTTGACAAATTACTTACTGCAAAAGCTAAATCTGGCTTTGTGCCTGTTGCTAAGTACATCAATGAACTTAATGCTTCTTGATATTTTATCTTCAACACAGGTGGTGAAGATGATATGTCATCAAGATTTTCACCCAATATTCCTGGAGTCTTGATAGGTTTACATTCATCCATTTCAAAGTTTTTTAAGATTTTAGTTATATAGTTTTCTTGATCGAGTGTAAGTTTTCCAGATTCTTGCCGGATGTCTATTCCTAAAAATTTTTGTGTTTGAGTGACTTCTCGTAATGTGAACGATTTAGATAGTTGAGAGATGATGTCATTTATCTCAGAATTTGAATTTCCAATCACCATTAAGTCATCCACATATACTGCTATGATAAAATATTATTTGATCTTATCTTTATAAACACATGGATCTGACTTTAGTTAAATTCTTTTCTTTAAAAACTTTACATAATTCATCATACCAGCATTTTTCTGATTGTGGTAATCCATATATACTTTTGTTTATAAGATATACTTTGTTCGGATCTGATATAAAGCCAGGTGGTTGTTCCATGTAAATTGGTTTATCCAAGTACCCATTTAAATATGCAGTTTTTACATCGAAAAATCTTATTTTGTAGTTTTTGTAAACTGCAATCGTGATAGCAATGTTCTAAAGGTTGCAAGTCTCATTACTGGGCTAAATCCATCTTCATAATCAATTCCTTTTCTTTGATTAAATCTGGTTGCTACTAGTCTTGCTTTGTAAATTGTTTCTAAATTACCCTTTTCATCTCTTTTTGAGAATATCCAGCGGTTTTTAATAACTTTCTTATCGATGGGTCTTTCAACTAATTCCCAGACTTCATTAGCCTCCATTGAACTCAATTCTTCTGTCATTGCTTGTAGCCAGAATTCACTTTCAGCAGATTCTATAGCTTCATCATACGTCTTAGGTAATCCTTCATTTGTATTGTATACTACATAATCTTTTAATTTTTCTGGGGCTTCGTAATTCGCGCTGGTCTTTTCTCTGTACAGAATTTCCATGATTATCATTTCCAGGTTCTTCATTTATTTGTGGATACTCGGTTGGCTTTTCCAATGAATTGTTATCATCGTGTTCATCATCACTATTGGATGGCAAAATTTTCTCAGCTTCTTCATCTGTTGTATTATCTTCTCTATAGTATCTGTTAGGTTATTTCTGAATTATTTACACTTTCCCATTAGTTTGTTCCTTATAAAAAATAATAAGTTCTTCTAATATTTGATTTTTATCGAAATTTAAATAATTTTCTTTTAGTAAAGGTGATCCAAGTTTCTGTTCATCAAATTTTACATCTCTCACTTCTTGAAATTTTATTTAGTTCAGGGATATAAATTTTGTATGCTTTTCTCTTCATGCTATTAGCCTATCATAATTCCTTTTTTAGCTTTTAGATCGATCTTTCTACGTTTTTCTCGTCTTATATGAACATATGCTTCACATCCAAATCTTTTAAGATAAGTAATGTTAGGCTTGCGTCCTTTACATAGTTCATATGGTGTAATCCTTTTATCATTTTTGTGACTCCTGTTATTCACATGTACAGCTACTTTAACGCTTTCAGACCAAAATTTTATCCGTAATTCTGCATCAATTAACATAGTTCTAGCAGATTCAATTACAGTGCGATTAAAACGTTCAGCTTTTTCATTACTTTCCGGAGTATAAGGGGTTGTAAGGTCATGTTTAATTCCCATTTTTTCAAAAAACTCTTTTATATTTTTAGCTGAAAACTCACTACTATTATCACTACAAATTCTTTTTAGTTTCTTTCCTGTTTGTCTTTCTTCTTGAATGATAAGTTTGATTAGAGCTTCTGAAGTTTCGCTCTTCTTCTCAATTGTTATCACAAATATGAAATTACTGTAATCATCTACCACTGTTAAAAAATAACAACTTCCATCTATTGATTTCTCAATTGGTCCAACTAAATCTATGTGCCATAATTCTAACATATCTTCAGTTTGCTTAAATTTCACACTTTTATAAAATGTTTGTGTTATTTTACCTAATGTACAAGGTTCACAATTGTTTTCAGAAACTTTTACATTTTGTAATCCAATGACCGATGAGTGTTTTTTCATTTCTATCAGCCTGTGATAATTTATATGACCTAGTCTCTGACGCCATAGTGCACCATTAACATGACCAATTTAAGCTTCTTCAGGAATATTTCCTTCAATTTCAAATTTATTTTCATTTCTGTTAGCTATATATAGAATGTTTTCCTGTTTATTGATCACTTCTGCTTTATTTTTGGTAAAAATTACTTTTAAATCATGATCTACAATTTTTGATACTGACAGCAGATTTTCACTTAAATTCGGTACTTGCAGAACATTTTCTACTCTCAAGATGTTCTTATTTTTATCAGTTTGCATTTTAATGTTACCAATACCAACTGATTTGATCATGGCCACTTTTTCAGCCCTCATTATTTGTCGTTCTTCATCTTTAAAATTAGTAAATATTTCTTTATTAGTTGCCATGTGAGATGTGGCTCCTGAATCAATAATTCATTTAATTTTTCTATTCTCTTGTTTATTTATTTTATTCTTTCCATCATTTCTATCTTGATTAAGATATGAGCTTTCTATTTTCTTAGATACTTCAAATAAGCATGTAGCTGATTCATATTCTCTTTCCTTGCTTGACATTCTATAAGTTTTATTTGCTACATTTCTCTGCTGTCGGTGTTCTTGTTTAGTTTTCATTTTACATTCAGTTGATTTGTGGCCGAATTTTGCACAGCAGAAGCACTTTATATTAGTATTATTATTATTATTTCGACATTCTTTTATTAAATGTCCTAATTTTCCACAATTAAAGCATCTTCTTTCATATTTCGATTTTATCCAGTTTTCTTTTGCCTTAGAATTTACTTCTATTTCTTTTGCTCTTTGTTTATTTTTTTCCTTCTGTTTCTTTTAAAGCTTGTCTAATTGAAGCTAGATCTTTCTCTTTATTGATTTTAATAATTTTAACATCAAATTCAAATTCCTTTCTAAGTCCGTCTAGTATGAAGTAAATTAATTCTTTTTCTCTTATTTCATCTCCAACTTGAATACTTTTACTTTTCAGAATAACAGCTCTATTCATATAATCATCTATTGATTCATTTTGACTCATTTTCAGTTGAGCTAATTCTATTCTGCATTTGATTTGAATATCTTCTGTTCTTGCCACCATTTCATTTTTGATTTTCTCCCATAACTTCTTTGCATTCTTTTCATTCGCATATTTTAACGCTTGTGGAGCTGTCATAGTTTGATTCATTATATTTCTTGCTATCGCGTTATTATCATCCCCTATTTCCCAAGTTTTTATTTCATTTTCGAAATTAACATCTTCCTTTTTATATGGTTTTGGTGGTTCATCAGCTTCTATCACACTTCTCCATATTTTTAAAACTTCTTAATTCACTTTCAACTCTGTTAGCCCAAATAAGATAATTATCGTCACTTAATTTTTCTATGTGACTCAAATTTATCATATTATATGCCATAATTTTCTAATTTATAATCACTAATTATAATACAAGTCTAATTTATCTCTTAGAGAAATTGGCGGTATTTTGTTAAGCCTAAACAACATCAATGTTCTATCTCAAAGTTTATTAACAGAGGGGGCAACCACGCTCTGCCACCAAATGTTGGTTTTTTTAAGATTGGCATATATATAACATTCTCAAAAGAATCATCCACTTCTAACAAAAATACATTATGGCAATATACAAAAAGAAAACTTTATTAAAGAAAATTAGACAAGAAATCTTACCACATTCTACCAAACCATAATAATGAAAAACTCTCTCTTCCAGATACATTTTTAACTCATTCTTTTTATGATTTAATATCAATGTTGCCAAAATATTAAAGCTGAAAATTATGCTTTATAAACAAATACTATCAGTATTTACTATACTCTCTCATAATACGTTAATTTGTATATTTATAATTCTTCATTCTCTCTCTCTTAATTATTCACTGATTAAGAGAATTAGTCTATTAAAGGAAAAAGAGTAAAATACAGTAAGTATGCACAGAGTGGTAACAAATCTGATGACAAGAATGGGTAAGCTACTCAGAGTTAATGGTGAATATCAACTTTGTTTCATGTTTAAAGTACTATAGCTCTTGAGTTGTGAGTGCAGTGTTTTGAATTCTTGTGTGTTTAATCTTCACTCAAAGTAAATTTGCTGGAGTATTCTGTTAATAATGATATAATTGACTTTAAATGCTTGTTGATATTAATTGAAATTCATTGTCTGTAACCTTAGATTTCTACTAAGCGTGGTCAAGGCTGGTGCCAAAGCAAGAATAACATTCCATATTTTGAAACAAGTGCAAAGGAGGCAATTAATGTTGAACAGGCCTTTCAATCGGTAGCTAAGAATGCCCTAGCACAGGAGACTGAAGTTGAGCTGTATAATGATTTTCCAGACCAGATCAAACTTACAAGTGAACAGAAACCTAGATCAGATAGTTGTGCATGCTAATGTTAAAATGTTCACTCAATTTGATTATGTATGAAGGGAAACAAAAGTTTTGACTGTTTAAATTTCCTATTATAGTTAGAGGCCGTGATTTTAACTCATTTTTTGGCAAGCAGGTTTTGGATAGTTCCATATGCTATCCTATATATGTAATCTGTATTGTTCTGATTAAGGTGTTACTATTTCAGTTTTATTTATATTTGTACTAAGATGTCATTGAGATGGGGTTATTTTTGACTTACAGAATTCACTGAAAGTAATGTGCATGTAAATTTAATTTGTAAAATCTGTATAGAAGCATCTTGTAGCATGTGTGTATAGTATATATACACATACACACAATCTCGTTATGTATAAAAGATTAGATAGACATGTTCTGCTAATTTTACAGGCTATTTCATTTACAAAAATAATGTAAACATTTTACATTGTCTATGAATACTGAGTGCAGTTGGTAATTTTCATATACTCATATACTTGCTTTTTGTGCAGGGCTTTTAAAAGCTTTATTCCATAGTTAATATTTAAACAACTTCTGTTGTACTTACGCTTCTTTGTGTGATCAAATATGTAAAATCTGAAATATTTTCCAATATTTAAATGTATATTTTATAAAATAAAGTTTTGCAGATATGTAGTATTAAAGTTATGTGGTTACTTTTTGTCTTATCTCTCATTTTTGTGAAAATTTGTGTTTACTTCTGTTAGGATTGAATGTAAATTTTACAAAGAATTCCACTTGGATAGGGGAAGTGTACTTAAGTGTTTACACACAATTTAGTAAGTTTTCTGAAATGGATGGCTACCTTTAAAAATTTCAGAGTAAAACTTTATTTGAAATCAGTCCGATTGGATAATGGAAAAATTCTGATGATTGAGGTTTTTTCCAACTTCATGTAACAGTTTAAAAATATAGTATATAAACCTCCTGAAATTAAAAACTAAATTATGCATTCAGTTACAATTTAACATAATTGATGCAGTGAATTTCAGTTAGTAATGAAGCTTAGTTATACAGGTTTGGGTGAGTTTTGTTTCTTGCTACCTGCCAAATCGCATTTTTTAAAAACAAATGTTTTGGATCATGTTAAGCATTTTTTTTTAATAATTCACAGTAAGCGAAAGTGATCTGCATAGGTATTGTTAATTAACCACTTGCGCTAAAAAGACGTCTCAAACCGTGTGCAAAAATGAAAATAACGTGGTGCACACGTTGCCTAACAACAAGATTGTTTACTTTTCGAGTTGCAGCTCTGGATTGCACTCGCAGACATGGAGCGGCGTAAATGAGACATTTTACTGCTTGTTATATTGTAGAGCACGGCACCGCAACCGTGAAGTTCAGTCGTAGCGCAAGTGGTTAATCATTTTCAATGCAATTTTGGCCTTTGGTCTGTCGAAACAGCATGCAAAACTGATTTTGCAGTTTTCATTTTCTACTCAATGTAGCTTAGATAATTGAGGTTCTGCATTTTTGAAAAATTTCGAATGTAAGTAGTGCATTTTCCCATCATTTTTGAGTATAATTCCAATGTGAAAGTACTCTTCATATTTAAGTCATAACACTTTTGCTGCCGGTCATGTGAGATTGTATTGATAGTTAATGCTGTCATAGAAATAGATTGTACCCATATGCAGACTTACTTGCTTATAAGAAGTATGATTTAAGAGTTAATAAAAGATTATTATGTGGCACATGATTAGCACTAAAGGTAAAATTACTTCTGCGATGCCACATTACGTGCTGGCATGTGTCATTTAAAAGTGAATTCAAATAACTGTATTCATTATTTTGGTATGAAACTAATCACAAACAAATATATATTACAAACGAATTTATTACAAAATGATTACAATGAAACTGTATTTCAGAATGTTATTCGTGTATGATCTTTGAGGAAAATGAAACTTTGTTTCCATTCCGAACCACATACAAGCAATTTCTAACATTCGCTCCACAGCATATATATTTAAAACGTAATGCTGACTGAACTTGAAAAACAATGAGGCAATTTTTGTCATTCCAGCAAGTGACTGGCACCCAAGACATGGCCCACACCACATGCAAGGGTGTGACTGGCATCGAATGTGTTAACTGAAACATATAGCAAATTATGAGACTTAAAATGTTCAGAATGCATGTCAAAATACCTTTTGCATTGACACAAGCAGCGACACAGATAATGAAAATTTTTAAGGAATTTGTTTTGGAGTACATATAAGAGCAAGGACTTTTAGAGGCAGTAAGGAGTAACAAGGACAAATCTGAAGGGGGAAACTGATAATACTGTATTGCTGTGTAGTGAGTGATATGTATTTGGAATACATTTTTAGGCAAATAACATAAATGCATTGTTATAAATTATATACTCAGCCATCTTATGAATACATTATCAAAATATATTGTAGTTTTAATTTAAGTCTCATTATTTAATTGTCACACTGTATTAACAAAAAAATTAATCAGCTCCTATTGGGAAAATATGCATTAGTTTCTAAAGCATTTAAACACAGTCTTTAGCAATAAAGAAATTTGTAATAATAATAAACTTTCTTAAGTTTGAATTTTTCTGTAAATTTCTAATCTGTAGTTGCTGCAATCACTGCTTTAACATTTCGTCTGTTAACTTTTTTATCTTCTCTTTAATTTCTTCCTTCTTTCTGAGGCAAGTAGTAGCATTCAGATTTGATTCAGAGCAGTCTAGGAAATGCAAAATTGTATTAATATATGTTTATGAAAAAATTAAAGGTTGATATTTTAGGTCTTCAGCCCAGAGATTGAATCTGATTATTTAATAATATCTAACCTCATTGGAATTTTTCTCTTACTAAACTTACAAATTTGAGTCTTGAGGTTATCCTAATTAAAACTGATTTCTGCAGTACTGATTTCTATCATGTGACATATGTTAAAAAGTTGAGCATTAAATGTTAAACAATAGACAATCAATTACAGTGAAGGATTACGAAGATTTTTGGCGAATAATGTAAGTGCAGCATTAAAAATTATTTACTCAGTAATCTTATAAATACATTGTCAAAATATATTGAATGTTAAACAATCCATTACAGTAAAGATACAAAGTAATGCAAAAATTGGATTAAAATGAACAAATTCACAAGTACAGGAAATTTCCTCCAAAATGAAGCTTTATAATCTAAAATTTCAAAATTCTGTTCATGTATAAAAATACATACATACATATTTCAATTTCAGTTGCTCAGCATGTTGGTGCCCAAATACTCAGAGATAATTTGTTCAGAGGAGGATTATAAATGCTATATAAAGTGGGAAATTTGTATAATGCACATAAATATGTTAATATTTGATAAATTATGCATTGAAGATACTATCAGAATTTCAAAAATAACAAAGTATACGGAATATTACATTATACTTGCAGTTTTGAAAGTAATGGATTCTGAACTGATCAAAAGACAAGCGAGAAGGAATTTTGGTACTGTTATGTTTAAATTATTGTTTAAAGCAAAGCACACTAGAGAGAAAATTTTTTTTTCCAACAGTGAAGGTCTCCAAATCTTAAAACTTCGGTATATCTCAAAAAGGTAGTTTACATGAATTTGCTCGTCTAGAAATAAAAAAACTTATAAAAATGCTATTCTGTAGGTCAACCTAAAAATTATTAAATATGGAGTTCATATGGAAATCTTTCCGAAATCGTGATTTTTGAAGAAACATCAGGAATCTCCAGAAGGTGTGCTGAATTTGAAGCACTTTTCAGATACAATGTGGTAATAGTATTTCCAATTCTTGTCTACCTATTTTTCGAATTTGGATTGGATTATGTGAATTGTGGCAAAGCATATAAGGGCTATACAGAATAGGCTCGTCTTTACATATATGGAAATGTTTGCATCATGCACAAAATCAAGAGCACTTTGTTGAAAAGTGATCTTTTCAGTGGTATAGTAGCATACAACTGTTTAGTTAACTTTGCTGCTTACAATATGAAATTTACATTTGTTCAACCAGGTTGTGGATCCACGAATATGTCATGCCTAGCATTGCAAATAAGTAACTTGAAACAACATCTGGATAACTGATACCTCCAAGTAAAGACAATGTTCAGAATAAAAAATATACCCCACCATCTCCTTAGTTTTGAAATTTGACAGTCAGTTTCAAAGCAAGTTGAAATAAAGTTATTTGCAACGACAAAAATAGAAATATTCACAAAACAAAAGTGAAAAGAGTTTGCATTAAATAAATATATACAGAGTGACAAAAATAAAGTGCACAGATTTTCATACCTTCAGTGACCGAGAATTTGGTTTCTTTTTCGTTTATTTATTTGTGCTTCATGTATAGGAATTTAGCGTTTAACTTTAAAGTTTTCTTTTTATGTATTTGGAAACAGTTTTATTCTCCCCCAAATCAATTTAAAGTTTATGTTACTGCAGATTCTGAGGGGAGAAAAACTGAGGGGTAATTCTGCATGATTTCGTCAGAAAGATTGTCACTGGCAATATTTAATAATTTTTTATATTAATTATTATTATATATGAGATCAGTAGAATAATATATTATTTTATTGAGGATAATTGAGAATTTGAAGTTGAAAGACCTTGGTCAGAAAAGAATCGGATTCTGAACGTGATTTAGAAATAGTTCTCAATGAACAGAAGGTAATACCACTAATAAACAAATTTCGGCATAATAAAGTATTTGTTACATTTTAGCATCTTATTTATCGGACTTAAAAAAGTTTTTTTTCCCTGTGTTTGCTCATTGGGCATACTGAAATTAAGGTGTGCATCTTAAAGAAAAACGAATAAAAACAGAAAGGGTAGCAGAAAAGGATTTATAACTAAACAACACTAAAATTAAAAATATTTCTTATTGTTACCAGCTTCAGAATCACAGATTAAGATAGTATACAGTAAAATATTTTAGAACTTTAACAGCTGAATATGATGAATACGGAAGGTCACATTATCTTGCACTCTATATTCTTGAATGGGAAACATGCATATGCATCTGCTTGCTCATTTAGGTGATAAAAACTAGCTGCTAAAATAGATAATAGATAAACAAATAAATATATGCAAATTATGCTTTTTATGGCAATGCAGGATTATTTAAAAATTTTCTAAAAATGAAAATGTTATTTTCTGAACTTCACTTGATCTATTCTCAAAAAGAAACTGTAATAAATGCGTAAATACATGCAAAATTTATGTCCGAGTGTTATTTATTTATTATAGTTAGTGGCATATTTGTTTTAAGTAAATTTTTATTCACTCTTCTGCAACAATTCATGAAAGATACAAGCTCTTTCTGCCAATGCAAACTAATTTTAAAATGCTAAAACACAAAAAAAAAAAAAATAAACTTCACGTCTGAAAACTATAGCTAGGTATCGACAAATTCTGAAAATAATCTTTTTATAGGAAAATGCTTCCACACTGTGAAACAATATACATTTAGTAAGATATTGTAATTACCATTACTTCGTCTTAAAAATTACAGCTATTGATTATGGATCAAATATAGAGTTCAGATGTTGAGGAATAATCAAAACAATAATATACTTTATAGCTATTGCATTTAAATTGAATACAAGTATCAGACACAGCAACATTCTGTTTTATACAAACATATGTAAGTAATCATTATGCAATCAGATATTTAGGAAAGATGTCTTAATTTCAAAGTAGGAATTGCAAATGTAGTGAAATGTCAAGGAAGAATTTTGATAAAGCAGTGGAATTATTTGTATCCATTAGACTATTAGAAATTAGATCAGTATGTGTGCAATACACCAAGAATTGCAAATGATTCTACTCATTTAGAAATACATAACACAAAAAGAATTAGCTCATACTAATGTATAATTGCAAACGATTCTACTCATTTAGAAATACATAACACAAAAAGAATTAGCTCATACTAATGTATATTGATGATTATAAACATATTGTGACCAATTTTTTTACACAAATTGATGATTTTAATGAAAATGTATGAAAAATTATTATATTTTTCTTTATAATGTAATGTGAAAAGCTGATAGAAATCATGCACTACCAGGAAATAAAAATACAGGGCCAAGTATATTTAACATTGAGCAAATGGCAATCTCGGTCAATTGGGAAGGTATCACAAAGCTGGCAACTAATTTTTGTCACCAAACTTGACAACCATTTGGCTACAGTTTGGTCTGGTTCTTGTATTACCGTAAATCGGTATTGTAATTGATGTTTTGTGTAACTGTATTTGGCCCTCATATGCCTGTGAGTAATTTCAAGAAGCAGAAAGTCCTAAAAAAGTCTCGGTGGCCAGGTAAAAACTACATAAGACGGGAGAGAGCCCGAGTTGAAGTGTTTCTTTTGAAAAAATAAATTTTATCAACCTGTCATTGGAGTTATATGTACTCATATACATGCAACAATTTTGGTGTCAGAGCCAGTGATGAAAGCGATTGATAAGCAATTAAGACAGCTGGTGGCAGCCTTTGCTGCATTCGAAGGAGAGATGAAAGCAAACCAAGAGATGAAAGTTGGCCAAGAGGAAATGAAAGGAGCTGTATTTCTTTGAAGAAGAGATGTAAGCTTTTCAAGAAAGATTGAAGAAGGTCAAAAGGAAATGAAAACAGAAATCACTTGCATAATTGAAACCAAACTCGAGGCTATGGAAAGCAGAACAGACATGGCTGAAGACAAAGTTAGAGAAATTCTGAAGTGGAACAACAGATTGAAGAAAGAGTTTCTGCCATCCAACAACAAATTGATAACAGTTTTTCTGTGATAATCAAAGAAGATGATACCTTAAAGAAATTCACAGCAACAGCAGGAAGCAATTCTGATGGTTTTGAATTTTTAACCATGCCTTCTCATCCCTCTCTATAGCTATCAACAAATGATGGTAAGATCTCCTGGTAAGTGTATAAGACACAATTTTCAAAAGTGGCAGGCACGAATGGATGGGATTCTGAAGCTCAGGCCTGCCATCTCATCACTTTTCTGAGAGCAATTGCAGCAGTCAGTCTTCAACCTCTACCCCAAACTCAGAAGCTGTATCCTGCACACTAGAGTTGCACGTTGGGGAGAAATGTTTAAAAGATCATAAGCAGGCTTCAATTAAAATCTTGTCAACAGAAGCCCACAGAAACACTCTAGGAGCTAGACATGGATGATGAAAGGCTGTCTCATCTAACTTCTTTGGACTGCCCAACAGAAACAAGGGAAATATTGTCCTTGCAGTACTTCATCAATGTCACCTAGTATCTGGAAATAAAGGAAGCTCTATGGATTGCAGATGTCAAGGATTTAAAAAGCACTCTAGTGTATGCGATAAAATTTAAAGGCAGCCCAGTAACTCAGAGATTTACACCGGATCAGAGCTGCTCAAGTCCAAGAGCCAGTGGATCAACTGATTAAGCAAATCAATGCCTTGAGATGGAACTGGAGCAGCAATAACCCAACCCTGAAGTACTGGAACTGCAGTGGTGAAGGCCATGTATGAAGGAGCTGCAAAACACCCCAAGGTACAGAAAATAATACCACTCCCGAGCAAAGATGCAGGAAACAAATTAGTGACCATTTCAAGAAATGGAGGTTGCCATATAATGAGAAGACCCATTTTTAAGTGTTTAAGATTTCTGCAGTAATTCACTTTGCATTATCGGACATATCAATGGAGTTCCCTACACTATGACTATCAATACAGGAGCCAATGTTACTACCACAGGGGTGTTTGTGCTCTGGGGATTTTGAACTTCGATACCCGGAAATTCCGGGGATCGTCGTTCAAAAGGAAGTACAATAATAATGAATTATTTATTTTAATCTGGGTAATTTTGTTTGCTTTGAAAGCAGAAAATGCAAGGTCAGTGTGTGTGGTGAGAACTTTTCCTTTCTTCCTCCAAAGGCAGTGATAATGCGTGAAAAGGGGGAAAAAACTTTTTTGTTCTTTCCTTATTGTGAGTTATGACTCATTCCCCCCGGTTCTCGGACATTCTCTTCTGGATTCTTTTCGGCAAGTAGGCGCGGCAGAAAAAAAAAGGGAGAGACTTCGTTCGACCAGATGTGCGATCATGTGACTCTGGGTACAAAGGTCTTATCTCTTCTGGCGTGGCGCCAATAAGTAGAGAAGGGGGATTTTTCGCCGTATTAGCTATTTGTCATGGATCGCTTCTCAACTTTTTTTTCTCCGCTGTGTAAAATTTTCATTTCATTTATTGATGCACGTGTAAATTTTTCGTTTTGTTTATTGAAATATTTTTTTTTATTTATGTACGCAAGAGAATTTCACTATGAAATTTCTCAGTATAAATAGTGATATTATACAATTAGAAGAAGGTGTCCGGAATGCATTTAGGTGGAATTGGATTGAACGGAGAGATGGTAATGGGGATACCATCGGCACATGATGCAAGAAAATAAATGTTGCTGGAAAAGCATATTGTGATTTTTGTAACTTACTGCTGAAGTATGGTGGGGAAGGATTCAAGGCTTTCACAAATCATTCTAAAACTGTGACACACATAAAATATTCAAAGTGCATTAGACATTCAATGACTTTAAGTAATTATGCTAATTCAAAAAATACTGATGACTTACTGGAGACTGATGCTCGGCCATTGGATATAGTGACAAGAAAAGCACGCCAAGAGGTATTAATAACTTCGTTTATCGCCGAGAATTCTCTTTCTTTCAATGTAGCTCCCAATTTAATTGAACTCTGCAAACAGTTGAGCCGCGATCAGAAGGCACTAAACTCGTTGGAAATGTCCAGGACTACTGCATGTTATAAGATGAAATATGGGCTCACGAAAACTATTAAGGAAAATATCATTAAAACTTTAAAGGAGACTCCATTTTCTCTAAATTTGGATGAAAGTACTAGCAAAGCTCAAGAAAGTATACTGGCAATATTGGTGCAGTTTTATGACAACAATCAAAATGAAGTTGTAGTTCATTATTTTGCATCTCTAAAGATGGAATCTTGCGATTCAGAAGCTGTTTTTAAAGCAGTTGTTAATACTATTGAAGATAATAATATTCCATGGGCAAACTTAATTAGTGTATTAATGGACTCATGTAACACCATGCGTGAAAAAAAAAGGGTGTTGAAACCAGACTACGATCAAACAAAGAACCCCACTTATTAGATATTGATGGTGACACATGTCACACAGCTAATAACTGTGCAAAAAAAATTTTCATGTTCAAATTCAAAATTCATGTTTTGATAGATACTTAGAAGATTCGTTTGATGACATCTATTTTGATATGAAAAGCTGCAGTAAAAGAGAAAAATTTTTCAAAATCTGTGAATCCCTTGCCATTAAAAAACTTAAGCCCTTGAAGAGACCAGACCATAGGTGGGTGTACATTTTATGTGTTTTAGAAAGAATCAAAGATCTGTGGGATGCTCTTATTGCATTTTATTTTAACTACTTGGATAAAACTGATAAAGGGGATTATTTTTCTTATGCTGAAACTGTATACAATAAAAGAAATATTTCTGCAGCTCATAAAAAAATTGTTGAAGGGGTGTATTCTTGCTTGCATTCCCAACAACTCACAAAGGATGCTTTAGCTCGGAAAAAAAAGAATACTAAATGGGTTATTTGTTATGCAAAACAAAACTTTATTGCATATGGCATTATATTCAGCAGTATTACCAGAGTTCAACACATATATTAAATTATTTGAAACAAAAAAAAAAAAAAAAAAAACCAATGCTTTATTTAATACATTCCAGTATTTATAAATTGATGGCAAAAATTTTCTCTTTTTTTATGAAGCCAGAAAATATAGAGTGCACATCTTATAATGATTTATTAAAGGTTGATGTCACAAATCCAGAATTCCATCTACCTAGCAAAATAATATTTACTGGTGCAGAAGCTTCCACTCTCCTGAAGAAATTATCAAAAAATCATCCAATAGCAAAAGAATTCCAAATTTCTCTGATGAAAGCTTATACTAATACAGCACAGCATATGAAACAGAAATTACCCCTTAAAAATTCATATCTAATTAGTTTTACAGCATTAGATCCAG